TGACTCTCCTTGGGCACTTTGAAAACAAAACCCATAGTTGTTGATTTCATTGGTCTGGAGTACTGAGCATAGGAATTGTGAAAAAGCATTTGAGGAAGAGCAGCCTAACACCATGGCTCCCAAACTCCCATGTGCCTCAGGAACCACAGATTGCTTGGTTACACCCCTAACTTCTGATGCAGAAGGTCTGAAATGGAGCACTTCATTTTTAAAATTTTAATTTAAAAGTATGCACATACATGTGTGTGTGAGAGAGAAAGATGTCAGAAGTGAGCATCAGATCTACTGGTGCTAGAGTTACAGGCAGTTAGGTGTAGGTGCTGGGAATTGAACTCCGTCCTTACACAGGAGCTGTACGTGCTTAGCCACTGTGTCTGCTCTCTAGCCATGAGAACAAGCAATCCTATAAGGTCACAGGAAGTCTGACAGCTTCCCTTCGGTACCAGGATATTGCTGAATAACTGGCCTAAGTCATTCTTAGTTTGCCTAGCATACCATGCCAGCTGTCTCAGGGATACCACCATACCAGCCTACCTGTATCTGCTGGGCTCAAGGGAGGATCCTGGCAGAAGGGCATGGGGGACAGATGTTTTTAACCTAGCATGGAAAAGTGAAATTGAGGGAAAGAGGGACACCCTTGGCGGGATGACCCTAAGCCCAGGACAAGAAAGACGAGTTGTTAAATGCCACAAGGAAGCCTTTAGCCCCACACAAGGAAGAATTTTAACCTTGAGAATTGCCTGCTCTGAAGAGGGCATCTGTTTCCTCTTTTAGTAGCCAGCCTGTCCCTATCTGTATAAGGGTGCAAGGGAGTCTAGCTGAGTTGGGGGAGATACTTCTAGAGGAAGATGATTGCGTTCCCTCTCAAGTGCGAAGTGCACGCCTCTGGGATGCACAACTGGGAAGCTCCAGTGGACCCGACGTCATCGTTAATCCAGGAGCTTTGGGTTTAATGCAGGGAGGCGTGGTGTGTTGCTTTCCCGACAGGCTGGGTTTCTCAACCCTGTTTGCTCGCCTATCAGCAAGCGTTTTTTTTTTTTTTTTTTTTTGGCGAGGCAAAGAGGAAGGAAGGAGGAGCGGCGCTAGACAAAGCCAGCAGTTCGCACAGGCAGCAGGTGTCACCTCCTGAGGCGGTGTGCAGGCTGCCTGAGTCCTATGGACCCTAGAAACAACCCTGAGGATTAACCCGGGAGGGGGTGGGGGTGGGAGTGGGGAATGCAAGGCAGGTGGCCCAAGGATTTGGCACTTCTCCAGAGGCCAAACCCTATGCCCTGCGAAGGGAAAAAGAGGGAGGGTTCAGCCCACGCCGCCAGCCACATCAGAGCACCAAGAGAACACCAAGTCTTTATTACCGGAATTCCTATGAAACAGCTCCAAGGGAGGGGGAGAAAAAAAACCACACACAGGAGGTAAAAAATAACAAAGTGACACACACAGACTTAGAGCTTTCCCTTCGTGCGCCTGGCCCTGGCGCACAGAAGGCCCAGACGCGTCTGGAGCATAGTCTAGCCGCCCCAGGCTCATGGGGGTGGGGTGGGGAGCCGTCCTTCTCTCCAGGGGTCACAGGACTGGCTAGGTGCCAGCGTGGTCCCCCCCCACCCCCACTCTGCACTGCGCACGCTTCCAAACTTGGTCACTCGTGTGTGCACCGCTCTCTTGTGCTCTGGGAGGCACGACCGGGAGGGGTTGAGGCGTTTGTAGTCTGATTTCCACCACGCTCCCATTTCCTACCAGTCCCTAGCATCCCCTCCCCTCTACCCAAGCATCGGATCCCACTCTCAACCAGGGGCCCCGCGCCTGCCCAGGCTTCCCAGCTCTCTCTAAGGATTAACGAGTCCCTAGATCACCGGCCGGCCGAGTGAGCCACAGTTGCGGCCTCTATCCATCCCCTTGGCAGTGGTTGGTGAGCGGCCCTAGAATCGCCTCTGTTCTTCAGATCACCTCTGTGTGTGAGGCAAGTTCCTGCCCTAGGTGCCCCCCTCCCCCAGCGCCCTGCCCCAAGCTGGTAGCCTCTGCAACTTAGACTTCAGTCGGGCACCTTCTCAGTTGGGGTCACCCTCACCCCGAAACTCCAGCACCTTTCTGCCTTACAAAACAGCAGGACCAGTCCAGCCCCTGAAGGGCCCCACTGTGATGCAAGTCAAGAACCAGCTTCTGCCTTCAGCCAAACTAAAGACCAGGCCTATAGAGAATCCTCCAGCTCCGGGGGTCACTCTCCCCATCCCTGCTGGGTCAAGGCGAGGCTGCTGGAGGTGACAGCCAGCCCTTAATAGAAGCAGCCCTGTGAGGTGGACCCGGCAGGACCAACCACAGTGTCCAGAGTTCAGTGCAGGTCAGGGCCAAGGGTCAGCAGTTCTGGCCAAGGCTGAGGTGTAGGAGGTCTTTGCAAAGAAAGGCCACAGGGGTAGGGGGATGGTGTAGATCAGGCCCTCTGCGGCAGGAGAGATGGGTAAGAGAAGCCAGAAAGCCCTGTTCAGCCCCAAAGAGCCTCCGGATGGGTCTTTTTCACCAGTTCTTTAACTGATCCTCTCTCTCTCTCTCTCTCTCTCTCTCTCTCTCTCTCTCTCTCTCTCTCTCTCTCTCTCTCTTTCAGGAGTGGTGGCTCCTGAATTTTCTGCTCTTCCCATAGACTACAAAGCAAGTTGTGGCTGGCTGCTGTCTCTAAGGCTCCAAGTCCCTCCTCCACTCACAAGCAACTCTGAAAGTTCCGTCAGTCCTGTGGAAAGTGGCAGTGGCTGGGCTGGACTGTGGCCGAAGAAGCCTGGGCCGTGCTATGGTATGGTATGCAAGCACCGTCTGTCTCAGCTGCAGCTGGAGGGCAGTGGTGCGTCTCTCTGGCTGCCTCCACTGGCCAGAGCATCTCTGGCCAGGCGACGATGCAGCTGGCACCTGGCACCTGGGAGTAGGGAAAACGAGTGACATTTTCATCACAGGAGCTTCCGGGTCTTTCTCTGACACTGGTTCCTGGAGACTACGAGGCACCTCCTCCTTTCTCCATTGGTTCTAGATCATCCTGGAACTCTGCTTCGGATCCCGCCCACTGCTCAACCACAGGATCCTAGCATGGGGTGGAGGAATGGGGTGGAAAGGAGGCTCCGCATGGGAGGCCTTACAGGGGGGGGGCTCCACCCACTATTCTGTGTCCCGCTAGTAGCTTACTCAGGGGGACCTGAGTAAGGGGATCTGAAGGGCAGGAAAGTAATCCCAGGCTAGAATTTGGTGAGCCTCAGACACCAGGCTGAGTTCATAAGACTTCTGCTCAAAAGCACGGGAGAAGCGGGACCACAGTGATGTTTGGCGATGGCATTAACAGGTGGGTCAACGAGATAAATCTGTCTAGGCTGCGATGAGAAAAGCAAGAAGGAAGAAGGAAGCAGGGAGGAGAGAATGGCTTGCAGCGAACTGACTGAAGGCAGAGCGACAAATAGGTATTGAGGGAGAGGTAGGAAAGCCATTGCCTATGGAAGGGAGCACCAGAGTGCACACTAGGGCCTGAACTGAAGGTGACCTTGGTTCGGCCCCTTCCTGGAGACTGCCACTTTGCAGTAGATGCAGGAGGATCTCGGTTTTTACAGTGGGGAGCTGAGAGGGAAAAAGCCAGAAGACTCAAAAGTGATGAGTAAGGTCTGAGATGGGGTGGCTTGGGGTAGTACTCCTTTCTCCTGGGGACCAGTGGGATGGAGGAAAGGGTAACAGTAGGGGTGTTTCCTTAGCTCTCCTACATGGGTAGGAAGCTGGGGGGCAGCTCTGTGGGTGAGGAAAGCACGGGGATCATGGAGAGAGCTGAAGACGGGGATGACAAGAGGGGTGTGTGTGTGTGTGGTACCTGCATTTGCTGGCTCTGCCCTCTGCGGCCTAGGGTATCTCACTGCCACAGCTACCATAAGAGGGGCATCTGTTCCTCCATGGTTGGAAACAGGGCCAGACCAGCCACACAACAGCTCAAGAATGCCTAGTAGATGCTGAGCACTGGGAATAGGACAGCAATTGGGCAAGCAAAGCAGGTAGGTGGGCGGGGAGCTCCTCATGGGGGGGTGAGGCACCTGAAGAGGGACAGGCATACAGGTGTGCCTAGTTTCTGCAGGAGATGCTGGCATTTTCTATGTACATTCCACCCCCAGAAGAGTAGACAGGGGTAGGAGGAAAGGTGGGCCAGCCCTGAGGCTCCAGACAGAAGCATCCACGGGGGGTGGAGTGTCTATTTCTAGATCCCTGATCATCCAACCTAAGCTGGGGACTGAAGACAATTCTGCATGTGCTTGACCACGATGTTTCTTTCTTACACTACCCTCTTAATATTCACTGTGTGTCCTGGAATGTCTTTTCAATGGGGCTGCAAATTATTCAAGGTTTAAAGCTGATTTGGCTTTCTTGTGCAGGGTATCTGTGATGATGATGATGACGAGACTATGATGATAATGATGATTCATTCAGGCAGGTGTGGTTATTGTTTGTCAAATGAATAAATAACCAAATTCTTTTGTTGTTGTTTTTGACACTGGGTTTCTCTGTGTAGCTCTAACTGCCCTAGAACTTGCTTTGTAGACCATGCTAGCCTCGAATCCACAGAGGTCTGCCTGCCTCTGCCTCCCAAGTACTGGGATCAAAGGCATGCACCACCACCACCCAGCAGTAACCAATTTTTTAAAAGTACAAAAGCCAGGTCTGATACAGTAAGTCTGTAATCCCAGAACTTGGGAAGTGGAGACAGGAGGGTCTGAAGTTCAAAGCCAGTCTCATCCATATAGCCAGTGAATTCAAGGGTAGTGGGGTTACATAAAACTGTATTAAAAGTGTGTGTGTGTGTCTGTGTGTGTGTGTGTGTGTGCACGTATGCACACACACACACACACACACACACACAGGTTTGCAGGGGGAAACCATGTGCAATGCCACAAGAGAAATAAGCCAGGATCAGTGTCACTGTGATGTCAGTCACAGCCCAGCACCTCTGGATCCTTGGGAGGACACATGGTGCGTGGTGGGCCTTTGCCCAAGCTGCCCCTGGAAGCTGTGGCCCCAAGCCTTACCTCTTACTGTCCTTCTCTTAGGGCCTCTTCCACCCCAGGCACCTCCTGCCGCCTTCCCCGGAAGTCTTCATCTGAAAGGCAAAGGGACGCTACCTCATCTTCCACCCTGCACAACCTCACTTGGACCTGTCTCCAGGCTGGGCAGGGGCGCTGCCTCAACCATCCCTTTGCTTGGGTCCTGATGCCCAGGTAGCAGTATGTGGGTGTGGTGAGAGAGGCAAAGGCAGTCAGGTACTGTCTTAACTCTACCATCGAGCTCTGTCTGAGGCCTTGGACAAGTCTACCTTGGTTTCTCATCTGTCAAATGGGATAGGGATGATGGAATATCTAAAAGACCTCTAAGGCCTTCTAGTCCTTGTATCTGGTGTCTTCTGACCACCCTTTTTCTTTCTTTTCCTTTCTTTCTTTCTTTTTTTTTTTTTTTTTTTTTTTTTTTGAGACAGGGTTTCTCTGTATCCCTGGCTGTCTTGCACCTCACTCTGTAGACCAAGCTGGCATTGAACTCTCAGAAACCCGCTCGCCTCTGCCTTTTGAGTGAAGGAACTAAAGGTGTGCCCAGCCATCACCACCTGGCTAAACTGAAGCTTTCTAACTTGAGATTGTCCGTGTATGAGGCAGCCTCATTCCCTAGAGAACACTCTCTAGAAGCAGTGCCTGGCATGCTGGGCACCCTTTTAGGGATGACAGGAAGAGAGTAGTATTGTGTGCAGCACATGACAAGCATACACATTTCTGTGGGCTACCTGCCTGCCAACAGTCAACATGTCCCCCAGGCTGAGTGTCCCCTTGTTGAACATTAAACACTAAGGACCTCCTCTTGAAGGCTCACCCATCACAAGCAAGTCAAAGCTCAAGGTCCCCCACCCTGCCTCACCATAAGCATGGCCCTCCACATCATCTAGGAGGTTGGCTGTTGATGCAGCAGCTCCCAGCCTGTGAAGACTATTCAGGAAAACTAGCCCAGAGACAAATGGGAACTGTCATAGTTCATCCAGTCTGCCTGTGCTCCATCCACCAACCTCAAGAGGCTTCTATCATCCCTTCTGTCCACAAGCTGCCTAACACTCCCCCATCCAGGCCCCCCTCCTGGGGTCAACCAAGCAGCTAGCCAGCCCCCAGCCCCCTTACTCTGCCCCCATCTCTAGGGACAGAGAGAGTGACTTTTCTCCCTGCTCGTCTTTGGCTACTCAACTTTCAATATCCTGAACTCCCTTGGCTAAGCACGGATGGGAGCTTAGGTATGAAAAGAAGAAAACATCTTTTCACTTGAAGGACCAAATGTGAGAAAGCAGGTCTCCAGAGACAAGGCTTCAGGGGACCTGGGGGTCAGTTCAACTAGCAAAATTCGGGAACGATTTGCTGACTTCAACAGGAGGACCACTGTCACAGGAAGCATAAGGAAGACAGTGTCCGAGGAGCTGCCGACAGGATGTCCTGGGTTTGCAAAGCAAGGAAGGGAGGCTGCAGAGCCAGATCCCAAGAAGTTCCAGCTTCAGGGGGTCCAGCCGGGATCTCCATCCATCACCCTTCCTAGTGCTCACCACCCCAACCCAGTGCTGAGCAGAAGGATACGACTGAAGCTTCGGCAAGTGTTTCCTCTTTGACTTCCTCATTTTGGTCTTCTCGGAGAAGGCTCGGGCGAGTTCAAACAGCTTCCTACGAGTAGCTGGGGCAGAGAGACTTGTGAGCCCTTCGTGCTCCGGGGACAGTCGGAGCATCAAATGGCTTCCCGCCAGGTTTGGGGGCAGCCAGGGCAGCACCAGGCCCCTTGGGCGGGGAATGGGAAGAGGAAAGTGAACTGCAGACACCAGTGCCACCTAGGGAGCAAGTGTGCATCCCAGGTCGGCCTGCAGGGGCAGCACAGGCCATCGCTAGCCAAGTACACAGCCTGTCTCCAGTCCAAGATCCGGGTATTCCTTCCCGACCGAGAGGCGAGAGAGGCACAGATCTTGGCTTTCTTTCTGGTCCCTCCCCAGCCACCTCCACAGTTGGTCCTAGGATTTCCATGACTCATCGGAAATTTCCCCGAAATAAAACCTTGAAAGGATCCCGGCCTCCTTCCCACTGCTTACGGGTCTGTGAGATTGGAAAGAGGAGAATGACAAGAACTGGACAGTGAGAAGAGGTCCCCTGCCCCAAAATGTCTCCCATCCCCACAAAAAGTGGACCCAGCTGGTGCCTCCCGTCTCCACCAAGCCCTCGCGTCACAGACAACGTGAACACCGACACGCATTATTTTTCTGCAGACAGCTGGCTGGCTCAAGAGGATTTAAACTTAATTTGTCTCCAGACTCAGCAGTAGAATAAAGTAAGGCAGGAAGGCTGAGGGAGCTAGCCTGTGATTAAAATGTCACCCAAGTTCACCAAGAGTCAACAACATTAAAAATCCTCAAGGGTGGGACCTCCTCTCTCAAGAGGCCACACGTCCTGCCTCAGGAGAGCTGGGACGGGGAGGTGACAGGAGCAGGACTCACATTTTCCCATGTGTTTCAACTTGTCCCTGAATAAGGCATCTTCTGACACAGTGGGGTTGGTATCACTGGTTCCTGGAAGGAGGAGACACCTGCTGAGGGACTAGGCCCATTGGGTCTCTGAGATCCCACTAAGAGAGAGAATGAGCAGCTGCCATGGGCCCAGGGAAATAGACGAGATGGCGCTCCTCCATGGTTGTTTAGGCCTGTCCTTACAGTGGACGTGCGGGCTTCTTCCCTAACCACTGGGAATTTAAGGCAAGTTGCAAGAGTACTTCCTCCTTGCAAGATGCATTTTCCTCTTCTGAGCCAATGGGGGGCAATCTTAAGAGCTGCTGCACCTGTGGGGAGCCGGCTGGCACAGGATTTCAACTTCTGTGAACAATCCCATATTCTCAAAGTCACGCTGGTAGTTTGCAATGAACTGGGTGGGGAGATTTACATCCGGGAAATCCCTAGAGACTGCACCCAGAGCAGAGCAGACTGTTAACCATTTGCCAGCACATCAAGACGCTCTGTGCATCCCAGCTCCGGTGAACTGAAGCAGAAAGGACACAGAGCTAAGAATGCCGGAGCGACCTTGTCCTCCTTCCCGGTTCAGCCTCTCCATTCTTCCCTTCCAGATGCTGAACAGGAACAAGAGCAGCGCTCAGCCAAGAGTCAGAACCCTGTGAGCTGCCGGGAGGGAGCCTCCTAACTCATTCCACTGCATGCCTCTCTCACCACCCTGGGTCACCTTGCCTGCTAGGTTCCCTTTGAGTCACTCTGATCCAGCTCAGCAGCCCTGGTGTCCCTCATTAATTTGGGATCAAGGACAAGAAGCTCTGTGAAAACTCCCAGATGAACATCTGGTGGGGCCTAAGCTCCTGGCCTCTTGCTTATGATTCAGTTCCACGGGATTGTCTTTCTCTGAGCTGGGATTAGCGAGGCGCCTTACCCTTCTGCTCCTGCCTTTCCAGCTCAGCTCTGGGATAGAGGCTCTGCTCCTAGAAAAACTACTGAGCCTTTCTATGTATGTATGAGGGCAGGGACAGGTCAGGGATCCAGAGTCCGGGGGGGGGGGGCGAGTACAAAAGCAAGGCCTCTGATCACACTCCCAATCTCACGCAGCTATAGTCCGTGCATCCTAGCAGTCCTGTTGCCCAACCCTCTGGTCTCTCAATGCCACTGCTGCTGGCACTGGAGGGAAGCCAAGAAATGAGCTCGGGGGCAGTTATATTAGGGACTGCAAACTAGGATTCTCTGGCCCTCCTGAGGCGGTGTCGAACCACCTAGCATTCAATGCTCACAACTTAATTTTCCTCACCTATGACAGGGCATGCCCCTGAGCAGGTAGTCCTCAGCTACTTAAGTGAATGAATGAGCCCTTCCCAGATGAATTTCACCCTCTTCTCCTCCATGCACTGAATACAGTCAATGTGTGTGTGTTGCCTTTGCATGTTTGCTATTAGGCATTAAGCCTCATTGGGCCAAACCTCCCCAGACTCTGAGGCCTTCCTACTCTCAGTTGCTATTAAGGGACATTACACGGTTCAGCGTGTCCTCTGGTAGCCCAAGATCCAGAAATAGTTGGGAGGTCAGCCAGCCTGTAGTAACCTACAGCTCCTAAGACAGCAAGAAGCGAGGGCCACTTACTGTAGGGGGGTATCTCATCCCACAGGAGGCCTCCCTTCTGGCCTGCTGAGGGGCCTCATCTTCCCACCCTTGGTTTGTTTCCTCACCCTACCCCCAAACTCTCAAAATTGAAGGTAAAGTTGGAGTGTGGGCCCACTGAGCCCATCAAGTTCTCTCTCAGGCGAGCAAGTTTACCTGGGGCAGAGGAGGAAAGGCCTAAGTCACTTCCGACAGCCACATTGCTGGATTTGGATTTCTGGGATTCATACTTCAATCGGTCTGGAAAAGGAGATGGTTTCTATCAGAGAAGTGAGCTCCAGGGCACCTGGGGGGTACATTGGAGGCTGCTGGAGGCTGAGCCCCCTGAAACAAACCTAAGTACATGCATGCACACAGGAGTGTCGGTCTGCCAGCTCTTGAAGAACGTGTGACAACAGAGACCTGATAAGCATCTTGCAATATTGGAATGTCAGAACTAGCAGCTTCTGGAGAGTCCAAGCCTACTTTATTCTACTGTTTTAGGGTTTTGATATGGAGCCCAGGCTCTCTTGGAACTCATGGCTCTCCTGCCTCAGCCTCCTTCATGCTGGGGTTGCAGGTAGGAAGCTGCATGCCCAGCCAGTCCTCGTTTGTGTCTCCTATGGGTCTGCTCCCTCCATCCCAACACCCTGGCAGTACAATTTTCTCTGTCCTTTCCAAACACATGAGACTCCCTTTCTACCCTTCACCCTACTCTCCTCCCTCCCCGGCTCTCTTGGATCTTTACAAGACCACCTCTGCAGCCCTGCCTCCAAACCCTATCTCAAAAGGAAAGGCATCCAGGATGGGGAGCAGGGTAACCCATCCATAGTTGATGCAAATACCGGGCTCTACCCTCTTCCATTCAGGAAGGCTCCCATCCTGGAGCCAGTTACCTTGTTCCCAGGGTTCAAGACCTGATACCTCTGCCTTGTGGCTAGAGGATGGTGGAAAAGGCAATATTCCTTCCCATCACCCAAGCCAAGGCTAATGCAGGGCAAAGGAGAAGACCCCAGTGGACACATCCCTCTTCCTCTGAGTTCCCAAGTGTTCCCAAATCCCCACTGGCTGAATGCTGTAGCTCCTGCATTACCCAGGAGGGCTATGCTCATGCAGCTTAGAAAGCATCTAACATGTTGGCCTCCGACACAACCCTCTCCTAAGGCCCGATGCTACTGCCCGTATCATTCTCTTCTTTCACAGTGAGACGCGGTGCCCACCTCTCTCCAGGGCGAGGAGAAAGTCACGGTTGCGCTGTAACTCCTTCATGAACTCTTCGTTCTGCAGGAACAGGGCAATTCTCTCATCCTCCAGGTACTGCTTCCAGCGGCTGTCCTGGTCGCAGGCACCAGGTCCTGGCACTGGAACTGGGCCTCTCTCTCCACCCGTAGGCTTGGAGCCCCCGGGGTGACCCTGAGGAAGAGTGAGCATACAGTCACCTATTTAAATCCACGTATACCTGTCTATGCATGTGTGCTTTCCCAGAGTCCTCCATCCACGTGCTGTAGTCCTCTCCTCCCAACAGGACCCAGTCATTGGCCAAAATTCACTGGAACAACTCAAAACTGTATCCTCAGCAAAAGCAGGAAAGACATCAAAAGGGCTTTTCCTTCCAACCTAGGGCCACCTCATTCCATCTTCTGGAACCTAAATTCTGAGAAGTAATTTGCAAACAGCTCAACCACCTTTCCCAAGAACTCCCAGTCTCACCCCACCAGCATACCCCACCAGCAGGGGCACCTTAGAGTATGCCACCATCTGAAAGAAGCTTCTGGGAGAGGAAGGAGCAGCCCTGAACCCCACCATTAGCTACCCGATTTCCCTCCCTGCAGCCAGAGAGTATTCTCGGGCAGCCACTTTCCCTGGGCCCAACAGGAACCATCGGGCCGGTTGAGAAGCAAGGCCCTGGGTTCATCACTCTTTCCTTATAAACTCTATTCAATGAAGCAGCTCAACCTGGGCTCAGAAACCTGGCTGCCACTGAGTGCGTAGCCCAGATAAGTAAGACGCTGGACAGGCAGGAAGGCATGGAGGCTTGAGGGCAGCCAGTTACCTGAATGCTGTCCATCTGCTGGGGCAGGATTCGGAGAAAATCATCAGGAAGGTTGCCCAGCAGGGGTGGGTTCCAGTTCCTGTAGCGACTCTGGCTTGTGGGTTGTCCAGAGCCCAGGACATCAACCCTGGGGGGAGGGAGGTAAGGAGAGCACGGAGCAGTCAGGCCTAGCCACAGCTCTGTCATAGGTCCTCAGGTAGATAGACGACAGTGGTCTTACTGAGAGCATCCTGTGCCCACACTGCCTTCAGACAAAGGTACAGAGTATATTCTGCTGGATGGGGGAAACGGCATACCAAGAAGGAAAGCCATCAGGCCAGGAGCAGCGGGGACCTCTCCCTCTCCTTAGTCGGCTGCTTAACTCCTCAGCCTTGGCCTTGGGCTGCTTTCCTGTCACTCAGTGCCTCTGGTGCAAATGTCAGTGTTGTGGATTTAGATTCAGCCTTTATGGGTGTCCCCTATAGATGGGGGCGGGGGAGTGTCATCATATGCTTCTGTGCTTGTGTCCCTAACAGCTGGCACAGTGCTGGACTGTTAAGTAGCAGATATGGCCCCCGCTCCACCCTGTCCTTGGTTTGTTGGGGGAAGGGGGCTCCCAAGATTCCTGGACAATAAAGCAGATCTGAGCTCCCATTCTGGCTCAGCTACAGCCAGCAAAGGGTGGGGGAACACTGCAAGACCCTGTTCATGCCCCTGATGCTGTCATCAAATCTAGACCCTGCTGACCTCCTGCCAAGGTAATGGGTGCCCTCCTATCTCTCCCCCCCCCCCCATGAGCTGCAGCTTGAACTGCTGGAAGCCAAGGTTAGATTGTTGTTTCCAAGGTCTCTTCTCAGGCAAGGTGTGCCTGTGCCAGGTGGCCAGGGCTGGAGAGGAAGAAGGGCCTGGCTACTCTGACCCCAAGCTCCATCTCCAGGCCGGGCCTGAAGGAAACCTGGAGCTGGGCCAGGAACTCCACAACTCCTCAGCAGCCTGCTGCGTGGCAACCGCAGGACACGTGTCCTGCTGAATCAGGGAAATGACACATGGAGAAGGCAGGCGGCTGGGGGTGGTGGGGGCCATGCTGGGCTCAGCCTGGCTTTGATTTGGCCTCCAGCTTCAGGAATCCCTCCGCCCCCTCACTGGAGGGGAGCTTTTCCGTCTGCTGCTAACTTGTGGAAATAACTTCCTTTCCTTTTCTATTTTGGGCCGGCGGCCCGGTGGGTACGAGGGGAGGGCGGGGGCAGCAGCAGACGGATAACCAGCTGCTAAGTGCTAGGGGGAGCTCGACTGGCAGCTTGGAGACGCACAGGGATCCTCAGAGAGGCGCCTGTAGGGGAACCCAGGACACACATTCCTAGGCCAGGTTTCCTTCACTATGCTCTGCCACTTATGTCCCTGTCCCAAATTCTGTTTTTCTTCGAAGGCCCATCTGTCAGTCCCACAGACACCACTTCCAGCCATAATGGGAGAAGGCTTATCCAGGCTTCATTTGGGATGAGGTCGTCACCCCAACTGGAATGGCTGCAGAGGGAGATATCAAACTCTGACCAAGACCCTCTAACCATTGTGTTTCTTGGATACCCATGGGATGGGAACTGACAGTAGGGAGAGCGCCTTTTCTTCTGGGGTTTCCCTGGCTTCTGGGCAGGGGTCCTGGAGAGAGGACCCAGCTGAACCTTCTCCAAGCCCTGGGATGAAGTCACCCTCAGCTGCAGGGGGCCTGCCCCTCGAGGCAGCCCAGCAACTCCATTGTGGTTAGAAAGGAATGTCAAAAATGAGCTGTGAGGCAAAAGTTCCGAGGCTGCAATTTCAACACAGAAACAGCAGGTGGCCTGTGCGGAGGGGTCTCCTGGGGCTCTGAGACTCAGAGGAAGGAAAAGACTAACCATGGGGGTGGAGGGGAGAACAACCCACACACTTAACCACAGGGTGTTGGACCTGGATGGGAAGGATTTCAGGTGTTTTTTTGTTTTGTTTTGTTTTGTTTTTTTGTTTTTGTTTTTGCTTTTTCGAGACAGGGTTTTTCTGTGTAGCCCTGGCTGTCCTGGAACTGGCTCTGTATACCAGGCTGGCCTTGAACTCACAGATCCACCTGAGGTGGAGCAAGCCTTTAATCCTAGCACTCCGGAGGCAGAGACAGGTAGATCTCTGTGAGTTTGAGGCCAGCCCCGTCTACTGAACCCCCCAAAGCTACAGAGAAATCCTGTCTGAGAAAAACAAAACAAACACAAAAAGCCAAAGTGTGCACCACCACCACCAGGCTCCAGAAGGGGTCTTAGGTAGAGTGTGGACATGCTGCAGTCTAACTCTGCCCTATGGCCAGGCTCTTCTCAGGGACATAATAACAGAAGGGGACCAGACCACTACTCCCCTCTCAAATCTAACCTTCAGCAGCTGAAGATTTTTTGCATACCCATCTACCAGTCCCCTGCTGTAGTACAGCCTCACAGAGCCTTCTGTAGTCTCAGGGTAAGGCGTGTGCTCCTTGGAAGTTTCCCAGAGCCCTATGACCTGTGCTCCGTTCCACTCAACTCTGATGCACTGTCCTTGCGGGCGCTTCCCAGGGATGGTTCCCTCTCCCTGTCTCCAGGCCTTTGCACATGCCATTTCCTCTGCCTGGAACATGTTCCTGTCTTCAGCTGCACTAGACTAATGCTAAGATGTATGAACTTAAGGCCATGTCTTAACCCCATGTTTGTGGATCCCCTAAATTCTGATCTACAGAGGACAAACAACACACACAAATAAATAAATGTAATTGAAAATATGTAGTTACTTTGGAATAAAGGCCTGCAGTGTCCCCACAGGCTTGTATGTTCGAGCACCTGGTCTGCAGCTGGTAGCACTGCTTTGGGAAGTTATAGGTTCTCTACAGCTGGGGTCTAGATGGCAGATCACTAGGGGCAGGCTTGGAAGGTTACATCTGCCTCTGGCTCTGGGCCAGTTCTCTCTGCTTCCTGGTGCCCGATGATGTGAAGACCTACAGCCCTGCCCTCTTGCTGACAGGGTAGCTCTCCCACGCCTTCCCTGCCTTCATGGGCTAAAATCCCTCTCAAACCATGAGCCAACATATATCTTCCCTCTCTGAACTCCTTCAAGGGTTCTGTCACAGCAACACGCGTGAAATACAGGGCACTAAAAACAACAAACCGGAAGTCAAAGGGAAACCACTGACCCCTGAGCTGCCAGTCTCCGTAAGCTGCCAGTCTCACACCGGTGCCCACCTCCCAGCCTGCATCCCAGGTACCCCGGTGATAGGTCCCAGCTCTCTCTTGTCCCTGACTCAGTGGGTGACCTCTGTCCTGCCCAGCTAACTTTCCAGACTCTCAGCTCCTTGAGCTGATTTCTCAGCCGGGAGGTGATGACATAACCTCAAAGTCAGATGACCTGGGGTTCACACCCCAGCTCTTAGCCTTGGGGACAGCAGTGAAACTCTCTGAGGCTCAGCATTTTCATCCGTGAAATGGGCGACAGTAGTGCTTTCTACTTAAGTCCCTGGGTAAAGAACCACAGCAGCCCCTGGCATTTAAAGGGTACTTGGCGAATGGCTGCTGTTCTTACCGGCTCTCCAAATTCCCCACTACCACTGTTCTGGAGTTCCTAAGATGCTAGGTAGAATGGGGGAATCACTAAGGCAGGTCCCCATTGTATCAGCCCCTCCCACCCAGGCTGTCATTCTAAGAAACAGCAGCTTCCAGGACAAAGTGACCCCACCTAGGCTCCAGCATCCACCAAACACAGAGCCTGGAAAAGCCAACACCTCACATACGATGGACACTCCTGGCAGCTGGCTTTGTTTTAAGCTTCCAAATAACAAGAGTCTCGAAGCTAAGACAAGTCTCTGGGGACCTTGCAGTCCACTCTCCTGACTCTAGTCATCAAACTAGTCCAGAAAAAGACACATCTGCACATTGCTTAAAAATCTCAACATCACTAGCCCAGGGGTGACACGGTCATCCTACTGGTGACTGACGGCGACCTGGGGTGCTGGGAGGGATTCTGAGGTTCGTCTCCCTCAGCAGGAGACAGCACAATGATTAATTACTACTGTGTCCATGCGCTGGGGAAGGGAAGGGACAGAACAATATTTCATGAGCTCGTCTTCCGACTCTGCCTCTCCCTTGATTACACATTCTAAGAAGCTGGAGGCTGTACCATAATTAATTAACTGTGTCCCTTAGGCATACGCTGCTATGCCCAACCTTTTACATGGGACCCAAACTCAGGGGTCTCCATGTTTGTTCTTAAAGGTACTTGACACGCAGCCATCTCCCTGGCCTACTACTTTATTTTTATTAGGATAGTTTCTCACTTAACCTGGAACCTACTGATTGGCTGAATCAGCTAGTCACTGAACTCCAGGGATCTGCCTGTCTGAAACTCCAGCTTTAGTGTTACTGTGCCCAGCTTTTATATGTAGAGGGCTAGGGATTTGAACCCAGGCCTTGGTACACAAGCACTTTGCCTACTGAGCCACTTCCCCAGCCCTCAGTGCTCCTTGGTGTCTAGATGGCATGTACCTTGCCACAGCAGAAGTTTGCAGTTGGTAGAACAATCCCTTGTGGGGGAAGCCAATTTCCCACTGTGCTTTATACAACCCCAACTCCTGTCTTCCTCTCTGTCTACTGTGCTCTGAGACCAAATGGATTCTCACCGGGGAGGTGGAGTTGGAGGAGCCATTGGGTAAGGCCTGTCGAACACGTGCATGTGGTAAGCTGGTGGTGAGTACACGGGCGGGGGTTCTTCCTCAGAGCTCTCCGGCTCCAAGGTCCTTTCCAAGACCTAAATCAGAGATAACAAAGAGATACAGAGCAGTAATTATTGATGATGATATTAATAATCCATCCTTGAGGTGCAGTGCCATTCAGATGAGATCAAGTACTGGCAAGGACCTGAACTGAGTTTTGTGCACGGCTGCTGGAAGTCACTCCTTTGCAATGCCAGCATCATGAATACACTAACAGGTGGCTCCCAAGGCCTCTCAGTTATACTCAGCAAAGAGGATAACACATGGCCCCAAAGGATTGTTCATGGCAGCAACACCTACCCAGGCAATGCTTAAGAGCAGCAAACTGAAGAGACAGGGAGAGTGGGTGAGGATGGGGAGCTGAGAACTCTGGGGCACATCAGGTGGTATGTGCATCCTGTGAAACCTCCCTGGATTGCACACGAGATCAGTGTCCTCTGTATAGCTGTACTAGCCTCTGATGATGACATCATCCAAGCCCTCCTCCCATGTACTTTCATTACCTACCATCTTAACCCTACCAGTCTAGTGAGTGAAATCCCATTGTACAAGGATGGGGAAGTTCAGGCCCGAGGGTGTTTTATTTGTTTTTGTGGTGCCTGGGATTGAACTCAGAGCTTAAAACTCATGAGGCAAATGCTCTACCACTCAGCTACAGCCCAACTCTTTTTACCTTGAATTTTGAAATAGGGTCTCACTAAGTTGCTCTGGCTCGCCTTGAACCTGTTTCATTACTTCTCCTGGAGAGGTGTGAACAAGAGAGGATGCCAACAACAGGCCAAAGAAGCAATCCCACCTCACCCCCAACAGCTGTGTCATCACAAGGCCCAGTCCTGGGCAGGTAATGACGCCCTGACAGCTTCATGGGGTCCCTGATTCAGTTAGCCTCTTGTGTTCTCCAGCATCTCTGCCTACCTGCACCCAGAGCAGAAATGCACACAGCTAGTATAGGAGGGCGTGGCTAAAATCGAAGGGGATGTTTCCCTAATGACCCCCCTTCTGTGAGGGAATAGGCCCAAGCTTGCTGAAGGGCTGGTGTGAGCTGCCCTAAGATGGTAACAGCCATGTCACCTCCGAGGACAGCAGTCCAGGACACTGATACTTCTGGTCCTCCTGGTTCAGATGACAGGCCCTGGGAGGCTGAGTCTGGTTAGATTGGAATCTTTCGACATGGACCATGGCCTCCACAGTCACATCCTTCCCTCAGGCAGCCTGAACACCCAGGTGAGATGCTCAGGGTGGACACCCTAGCTGCCCACTGCCCCTTCTCTTCACCCAGGAGGCAGAGAGCAGAGCAGAGAAATGTCCAGCATGGGGTGAAGGCTGAGTTCCTAGTACCCAGTGGGTATGAATCTGCCCCCAGACGCATCTGCACAGATCCCTGTCACACACCTCGCCCCACCCTGCCTTCTTCCTCAGAGACCAAAGAACCTGGAAAGAGACTCCCCCAGCCCCACTTGAACTCTTTCAGGGTGGAAGTCGCCCCTAAAGCTGTGTCTCTGTTTCTGCCAGTCCAGGTTCCACTGACACATCTGAGCTCTAGCCCAGCGGTACCCAGCACAGGCAGGCTGGCGGGGATGTCCTGGTAGTGAGCACGCACAGGCCCTGGTGGTGAGCGAGCAAGCACAGGCCTTGGTAGTGCGCATGCTCACACACTGCAGAGCTCAGCGCCAACCTGAGCCAAGGAGGCTCCCGCCCTGGAATGCAGCGCTCTTTCCTGTGAGGCGGAAAGTATTTAAACAGATGCTTCTGCAGAAAAAGAAGAATGAGGCCGCCCTGCTGGCCAGGCTCACTCCACATCCCACCAGGAAGGAGAGGGAAGCCAGTGGGAAGGAATGGTGCGCAGAGTGGGCACCTGGCCCTGGGTGACCCCGTTACCTCACACAGGAGGTGCTCAGCAAAATCCCAGGGTGCCCAGAGGACTCTATGCTGCTTCCCGCTGCCCGCATGCCCCCGCCCTCGTTTCCCAAAGCCCTTGGTTCTGAGGGATAGGGTCCAGGCTAAGCTTGGTCTGGTGGGAGGGAAAGTTCCGCGGATTTCCTTTGCACTTTGGCAGGGTTGCGCCCAGACTCAAGGACACCAGGGTGCAGCTTTCTGCCTGGAGCAGCAAACCCAGCCTCTAGAGAGGAATGCTTCTATAGTGGAGAGAAGGCAGGCCAGCTCCAGAAAGGAGATCTGTAGTCCCAGAGAAGGGACCCCAGCATCTTCCTGCCCTCCCCCTTCATCTTTCTGGCCACAAGGAGCTTATTCTGGCTCTAAAGGTGCTGGAGGTTCTGTGGCTTCTTGGCCTAACTCACTGTGGGTGATGGATGCCTGCCAGGTATTCCTGAGGTGGGGAGGGAGGCAGGGTCTGGACCATTTATCTGACAGGAGCTGTTTCTCTGTGACAAGGATACCCCTTGGGCCAGCCCACCATCCATCAGTCTCTAGAGAGGGGCCTTTCTCCAGTCAGCAGTTATTGTCATTCTTACTGCTGCTCATAAATTTCCTGTAGCACTTTGCGCTGGCTCAGGAGCTGCCTGAGGATGGGCCCAGGCAGGGCTCCAAAGGTGGGGGCTGGGAGAGAGTCGGGCAGAGCTTACTTGAAGGGGATCAACTGGGACTGTGGACTGCTTGGGAACAGAAGTGCAGCACAGGATGGATGCCTGGAGCTGAGAAAGGCTTGCAGGGACTTGTGATGTCACAGGCACTGTGGGCAAAGCAGGAACAGCCCCTCCTGCCAGACCATCAGAATCAACAGGACCACAGAGAGTCAAAGCATGCAGGGAACTTCCCAGCTCACACTAAAGGAATTTACCTGCACGTACACACATGCACACATACTCACACCTCTGGGTTTTCCAGTGTTCTCTCCACTGACTAATCCAGGCAAGTCAAAGGGGTGCATGACAGAGGGAAAGATGACAGAAAGCTACACAAAGACAGCATCAACAGGGCTGGGGAGGTGGCTCAGTCAGTAAAGGGCTTGCCACACACAAGCTGGGGGACTTGAGTTCAGTACACAGCACCTGTGTAAAAAGCTGGGCTGGTATCACACACTAGTAATGCCAGGGCAGGGGATGTGGAGACAGTTATTATCCCTGGAGCTCCTCAGCCAGCCAGCCTTGCCTAAGTAGAGAGAGATGGCCTCCCAGAGCAAGGTAGCTGGCTCCTGAGGAATAACACTCCCAACTGATCTCTGGCTTACACACACACTCATACACACAAACTCATGCATTCATGCACACTCATGTACACAAACACACACACACACACACACGTAACATCTACTCATTGCAAACCTTCACCTTGTACCTGCCGTCTGCCCAGAGAGAACATTCCACACTGTCACAAGTCATTGTTACCCACACAGCTTCTCTTCCATGGAGCCAGAATCCTAGAAGCACTCACCAAGGAAAAAAGGAAGGGGGAGGTAGGAGGAGCAAGAAGGCAGGCCCTGAAATCAAATCTGATCCAGAGTTCTCATGTAAACAAGGGTAACTGTCCTCATCAAGTTTAAGAAACAGAATGGATGGATTTCTGAAGCTGCTGAGACACCCAGTGAGCACAGTCTGGACTCTGGAAAGAGTGGAATTAAGCGGGGCCTGGTGGAGCACACTCATCATCCCAGCTACTGGAGAAGCTGAGGCAGGAGGATGGAAGAAAGTGCAAGGTCTGCCCAGACTACCGAGTAACCACAGGATTTAGGCTGCATAGGGAGATCCTATGTAAACGAGGGCTGGGGTGTGGCCCTGCCATAGAGGGCTTGCTCCACATGTAAGAGGCCCTGGGTTAAACCCCTAGTATTGAAAAGGAAAGAGTGGAGTTTGTCCCTGTCTTCTGGTCCCTGTCTCATCCATGGCTCTTGCACTAATTGCATGCCTCACCCTTTGCCCTGAGAACCACATGCCCTTTTAGGCTGGGGGTTGGCTGGGCACAGAGCTCCTGAACAGGGCCTCAGAACCACTCCAACAGCGGGCTTTGACTCACTGTGGCTGGCCATGCCTCACCCTGGGAATGGCTCCTTGCTTTTGTGGCTGGAGCCCCACACTGCAACCATCCTGTCTGTAGAGACAGGGGTTAAGAAGACTCACTCCTGTGCTTCATCTGTCCACAGAGATGCCTGGCGGGAATGTACCCTCTTCTGAGTGGAGGGTATGGCCAACCTTACTGCTCTCTCGCCCTCTCTCTGGCACTGGGGCTGGTTCACCTTCTTTCTCTGCTCTTGGTATGGGTCTCTGCTTTGCTTGTGCCTTTCCTACTCTGGTTTAACCTCTGTCTTCAATCCACACTAGCCTGTGAGCTCCAAAAGCACTGCCTGATTTGGCTGGCAAAAGTGATACTCTGTCACTCGAGAGTTTTTCTTGAAAAAAATGCCAGGCTTGGAATTGAGGGGTCAGATGTTGGAGTGGGGCTTATGTACCTACGTTTTAAACAAGCACCCTAGTCTGTGGTCTTGTCCTATCTATCCCTAACATACCACTGAATGAGTGCTTGCTTATGGGTGTTTGTTGAATGATTGCATGATTGCTACTCGTAATATAGGTCATTGCCTGATCAAAAGTTTCTCAGAGGGAAAGAGATGCTTGCTGGTTAGAAGCCAGGCACCCTCCAGGGCGGGGAGGAGCTGGGGGTCAGGGGCAACCAGAGTCTCTAAGAGAGACCAGACCACCATTAGTGGTGAATTGTCTGACCGTGCCTCTACCTCTGGTGGGATGCTGTCCTCTGAGTCTGAGCTGTCCTCATAGGCACTGCCACCACCTGCCTCCAGGTTCATCTGCAACAGCTGGTCGATGGTGGCATCCACTGCGCCGCTATTGGCACGCAGCACGCACTCAATGATGTCGTAGTCCATGTTGGGGAACATCGTCTTGAAGTCGTCCATAGCCTGGTTGAACTCGAGGCGGCGCACCTGGCGGGCCGGCCGGCTGTTGTTGAGTTCCTGAGGGGCTGCGCTGCCGGCCCCGGCCCCGGCCCCGGCCCCGGCCCCCGCCCCCGCCCCCGCCCCCGGCCCCGGCCCCGGCCCCGCGAGCCCCGGTGGCCCCGCCACCGCCGCTGCCGCTGCCGCTGCTGCTCCTGCGAAAAAGGCTGGTCATCTTGTTGAGCGGCTGCAGAATGTTTCTGACAAACCAAGGAGCCACCAGCCCGGAGTCCCTCTGTCAGTCACTTGCTTGCTTGGCGGGTTAAGAAGACTCACTCCTGTGTTTCGTCTGTCCACAGGGATGCCTGGCGGGAATGTACAGCCCAGGCTAGGGGACAGGGGCTGGGGTGGTGGCGGCATGCGGACCTTGACCAAGCTGTGACTGTACTATAGATCATCCACATCCTTGAGTCATCCTGCCACCACAGGGGGCTTCGAAGAATTGACGCTGTCACCTGAAATGAGAGGACAGAGTCAGAAGCAGAAGCAAGCAAACTTGAACTCTTTGGTGATGGGCTGTTGGGAAACGAGGTGACACCTACCCAGCCTAGGGAGACCTGTTTCTCTCTATTCTCTCTCCAGCTGTAATATCTAGCCTAGTTTGGGAAGAACCCAGGGCTGTGTGCATACTAAGCATGTTAATGGGTAAATAAATAAGCCTAGGAAAAATACATATGTATATTCTTTCCTATTCATTTGTGTTGTTTTCATTTTTGTTTTGAAATAGGGTCTCATCTAGCCCATATTGGCTTCAAACTCCGAGTGTACTGAAGCTGGTCTTGAACACTCAATCCCTGCCTCCTCTTCCTCTCCTGCCTCAGCCTTCTGAGGGCTGGGATTACAGGCACATACCACCATACACAGCTTCCCTAAACTGTCCCAAAGAACCCTGTCATCTAAGTCTTAATCATATTCCATCCCAAACCCAATTCCCTGCTGCAGTCACCCTAGCTGGTATGCAAGGCTGGCACAAGGTTATGCACCAAAAGGACTGAAGTCAGGCATGCATAGGGAAATCTACAACAGAATACCACTCAGCCCTCTCAGCCAGGCACTGAAATGGTCACCAAGGTGATATCGCTGTTAGTGTAGACGAAGGAGAGAGAACAATGTCTGAAAGCAAAGCAATGGGAAAGGGGCTGGGGATGTGGCTTGAGGGGTGGAGTGCTTGCCTAGCATGCATGGAGTCCCTCTGTGCAGTCCCCACCAGTGAATAAAACCTGGCCTGGTGGGACATGTATGTAATCCCAGAGCTTGGGAGGCAGAGACCACAGGATTAGGAATGTTTGGCCCCGCCCAAACTAAAGAACTTGTCTCCAAAAACCAAAACCTGGAACCAGTGAGATGTCTTGGTGGAGCCTGGTGACCTAAGTTCAATCCCTCGGACCTCCACAGTAGAAGGAGACAATTGACTGGCACAAATTGTCCTCTGACCTACACACACACACACACACACACACACACACACACACACACACACGTGACTCTGACTTTCTCTATCTTATCCCAAGATTTAGTCATTCTAGCAGCTTGTAGGAAAGGGCATAGCCCTGCTGACCTCTAGCTCATGATTCCTTCTGCCTCTGCCCCCTAGAACAGTGCTACACCTTCAGATCCTCCAAGGGTGTTTTTAAGCCTGAGGAGTCAAATGCAAGCCTATTCTGTTTTCTAGGATGGGAGTCATGGCCTTAACAGAGGATGGAGAAACTGTCATGTGAGCAAACCCTGGTCACAGTCGGAGCGGCCACACACTGACTGTTATGAAAGGTACCGCCCCACTTGGGATGGGAAGACCTGCCAATGCCATTAATGTCACTACTTCAGGTCAGATCTCATACTCTGGAAGTGGTTCCAGTACTTACCACACTGAGTTCCAAACATCTTACTCCCTCTCTTTCCTCAAAAGGACGTGAGCATTCTCAGGGAGCCCTATTCTGGGTGCCTGCCTATTTCCAGGGAGGTGGATTAGATTAGATTTTTAAAACTTCTTAAAAGTTATTTTGTGGTGGGGGGTGGCATACATGTGCTATAGCACACACACAGAGGTCAGAGGACCAGCTTGTGGGGTTATTTCTCTCCTTCCATTACCTGGGCCTTGGGGATCAAACTCATGTCATTAATCAGCCTTTACCTGCTGAGCCATCTTGCTAGATTTTTGTCTGTTTGATTTTTTGACACAGGGTTTCTCCGTGGAGCTTTGACTATCCTGGAACTCTGTAGACCAGGCTGGCCTTGAATTTATAGAGACCTGCCTGCCTCTGCCTCCCAAGTGTTGGGGTTAAAGGCATGTGCTGCCACCACCCAGCTCTGTTTGTTTGTTTGTTTGTTTGTTTGTTTTTAAAGATAGGATCATGTAGTCTAGGCTAGCCTTGAACTCACTATGTAGTTCAGGATGATTTTGAACTCCTGCTCCTCCTGCCTTCACCAATCAAGTGCTGGGATTACAGCCATGTACCACCATGCCCAGCTAGTAGATTGGATTTGAAAGTGGAAAATTACAGGCACACAGGTTCTGAATAACTAGCAGACTCTGAGATCCCTTCCTGCCCTGAGAGAACTTACTTAATGAGATCACATCCTAACACCATGTGTAGGTAGGTATTTCATCCTTGCACATGCTACCATGTGTGTGAGCTTATTTTATCATGTGATGAAACAATAAATTCCACTATGCTGGTACTTTTATCTACTTAATAGCACATTGTGGGCATCTTCCCACATCAGAACACAGAGACCCACCTCATCATGTTACATGTTTGAACCATGATTTATCATCCAACACCATCTATTTCCTGCCTTCCCGGAGGAGCAAGTCACAGCCAGGGAGGCCAAAGCCATGTCACAAGGAGAAATAAGGGTGGCCTCGGGTGATTAATCCAGGGATTTGGTTATGAGAATGGGCCTAAGAAGAAAGCCACATATGTGTGGCTTCCTGCTGCAACACCCAAGCCCCAAGCCCCCTCTCCGCCGCTGTCCCTCCCCCCCCCCTACCGTAGGCAGTCTGAGGCAGCTCAGGGGTTGGTTCCATTAGAAGTGCTCCATTCTGGGCCATTAAAGCCTCAGAAGCCAAGACCCCCATGTCATTACACATAGGGTCAGAGACTCTGGTTAAGGCCCTTGAGAGTACAACCACCATCTCCCTGCCCCTAGTGTAATTCAGCCAGAAAGATTAGAGGCCAGGCTTGTCATTCTGCCAAGGGTAACTCCATGAAGAAAGAAGCCAGGACCTGGTCCATAAAGAGAAAGAAGAAAAAGGATGGGCCTACATGCAGCCCATGAACTCCTTCCCACAGACCTTTGGGTGCTGTGTCTCTGAGTGTTGAGATACTCCTGAGAGGCATTCTGGAATCACCTGTCGACTCTCCCGAGGGAATCCCTGTGCCTTTGTTGCCCAGGGCCTTCCTCTTAGGGTCTCCTTACGACGGTTCCATGCAAAGGAAACAAACTGGCTCTCAGCCTGTGCCAGAATGTGCCAGCCTGTGCCAGAATGTGCCAGACTACCCTGTGAGGCTGGAGTAGGGTTGCATGGCTGCACTGCCCAATGGGGGGGAGGGAGGCTATAGGGGCTCTTTCCCAGACCCTGGCTGAAGGACATGTGGATTCTCCCAGCACAGGCCAGGTCCTGCCTGAGGCCTAGGCAGCAGGAGACACCCCAGTTGCGATGACCACCAAAACTTGCTCTCTTCCACTATAGTTGAAGAGAAGCTCAAGAACATGGAGTGAGCAATGGAAAAACCTAGATCTTTCCACCAGGGCAGCCCCGTGGGTTTGGAGAAAGTGGTTCAGAAATAGGAAGCTAGGGAAACAGGATTTGATAGACAGCCAAGTCTCAGAGACTCCAGACAGCCAGGCTGTTGTAAGTAGCACCACGTAGGGGCTAGGTTCTCAGAGTATCGTCGTCTCTGCTCCTTGTTAAACTTAAGCCAACCTAAGGCCAGGGCTGAGATATTCTGGCAGCAGGGGAGAGAAACACCAAGTCAGGCTCTCTTTTGTAGTAAACCCTGCTCAAATGAAAAGCAGGTTAAAACTCATGGGAGGATGAAGGCACACAGACCACCCAGTCTCATGAACTTGTTCGGGGCACTCTCAAGCATCATCTTTATCAAAGCTCCTTTTATCCTTATCATAATTCTCCAGCCCATCTCCATTGTATAATGGTAGGAATGAGCTCAGAGAAATCAAGTAACTTGTCCAAAATCACACAGCTAGCGGGTAGGAAGAGAAACCAGATTAGCATCCCACCTCCCAAGAGCTAAAATGCCAAGTAAGGCTTGCAGGGCTAAGAGCCAAGGAGCCTGAGAAATGCAGCCACGTGTGCCTGGGCTTAGGACATTCCATCAAAGGGAACATGACCCAGACAGCATGGGGGAGGTCTGCTGGCACTGCCCCAGACCTGGCTATGTGACCTTGGAGAGGGCAGGACACCTCTTTGAACCCACTGCTAGTGTGGGCATGAAAACAGGAAGGTAATTCCTGATGAGCTTGTGAAGGAGGAAGTGAATCAAACTCGCCAGGCCCGTTAGACCTCTCCCTGAGCAAATGGGTGTGGGTAACCTCAGGACCTGGAAGCAGAGACTCCATACCTGAACTCCCCCAGGACACAGGGAGCCAGGCCCAGAACAGCCTGCTGCCAACCTCCAATTGCAGTGTGAGAAGCAGCGAGTCACGTGGAGCCTGGCCCAGGAGGGTGGGCAGGCTGCCCCAGGGTGGCTCACCCAGCCTTGTCCAAGGTCAACTCAGCCAGCCTCCTGCTTTAAGAAGGCCTGCTCATGAAGGCTATGGCCTGCTCTGCACTAGGGGTGAGACAGTGTGAGGACCAGAGTACTGGGCTCACGGCCAACCCCAGCAAGGCCATGTGAGTTGGGGAAATGATTTCAGGTTTCTGAACCTCAGCTCCCTTGTTGGCAGAAGCTGCTTGTATATGGGAGGGATGCTTGGGGTTGAACTTATATGGGTTCCTGGGATGGGAGAAGTCCCTGCTGGGACAGGCTGGGGTGGGCTGGACACAGGCCTTGGGAACCCCATGCTATACTTGCTCCCCTAGTAAAGCCGGTGGCTTTAAGAAACTTCTGCCAGCTACATGCTGGCTCCTGCTCTTGAGTTTCCTATAGACATTCCCTCTACCTCACACCTATACAACCTCCTACAGCCTCCATCCAGATGCCCACCAGCAGCTGGCAGAGTGAGTCAGTCCAACCCAGCCTGTGCA